AGAGTTTCCAGAGCTGACGCTGATCGCTGACTCTAGCATTCTAAGGATGATGGCGAACACCTTGAAAGATGGAGTATAATACGCCCCGGAGACGTGCAAGCCCGCTTTGGCAGTACGTCTCTCGCACTGAGCCCCCTCCCCGAACCGACCATACCGGTGGGTTTCACCCATAGCGCCTTGCAGCATTGTCTCTTTGTGAAGTGTCCAAGGCATAAGGGTGACTATTGAAGGATATTCCAGGCTCACACCTAGAACTAATCATTTAGGAGGTCTCTCTATACCATCAAACGATTGCAGACTTGGGGTCGGTGGACAAGTCGCGGTCTAAGAGACGGAATGAAGCTATTAGCAGGTCAATGATGCTCCTGATTGCGCTTGACGACATTAGTGGGGAGTGGGTTTTCTCCGTGGCCTCGTAGATGAGAAGAGGAGTAAGGGTGTTCATAGACAGTTGCAAGAGGCCACTAAAGAACTTGAGAGGATTTTCAAAGAGGAGCGGCGGAAGAATGCGTTCCCGCAAGTGATGGGGTCTTTTAAAACACAGAAGACTGGCGCTAGAAATCGAGTGACAACTGTCACTGCCGCTGTAGTACCTGCCATCCCGTTTTTACCCTACTTATATAATATTAAAATATTAAGTATTATTATAATGTATATTGACTACTTATGTTCATTATGATTTGTAATCTATGAAAAAATGAAAAGAAGAATAATTTACTTAAGTAGGAACATATATATTTATATAACTTGATGAAAATTCAAAATGGCCTACTTGAAATCTTGCACACTCACGCCCCTGCACGTTACACATATTTTTATAACTTCTTAAAAATTATTATGATAGATACTGTTAATTTACTTCTAATATTCGACATACTTTATTTTTAAATCGGATCATTTCCCTTTATACAGGGGGAGGTTCAAAACTTAAAAATACATATAGAAACTAGACCTTCTACAATTTAATTTTTGAAAAATAAATAAAAGAAGGTTTTATGAATTGTCTTTGATTTAATCTATATTATCCCAATTATTTAGAGTTAATAAATGTGAATAAAGAACGATGAAGCCATAAATCATTCATTATATTAACATTGTAGAATATTATATTAGACTGGTTGGTTAAGGTCTTGTACTTTACGTACGTTACATGGTTACCGTGAACTGGTTTGGCGTTAAACTGGCTTAAAGAAGTTTCAATAACCTAACGTGATATCTACTGTATAAGTTAAGCATTTCCACAGGTATTCATGAACTGGCTTGTCGTTCCGTTGCCCTTGTGCATATTATTAGATACCAACCACACTGTACTTTATTACACCTCAGCAAAGAAATATTGCGTTTATTATTTTTATATCTACTTGTCTTCGGTGTTCTAAACCCTCAGACTCTACAACCCCCATAGAAACTTGTTGCTCGAAATTTGACCAAATCTACATACATCCAACCTTGGTCAAATTACCCATGCATTCATGCAACCATTATTACCATATTATATTTTGTTATTTTAAATTATAACAAAGTGGCGCACAACAACAGACTTGGTTAAATTTTATTAAAATTTTTTTTTTTAAATTACTCAGAATAAGTATTTGAATTCGGATTTTTACGGTATTCACCAAATGCAGGTTGAGAAANAATTACCCATGCATTCATGCAACCATTATTACCATATTATATTTTGTTATTTTAAATTATAACAAAGTGGCGCACAACAACAGGCTTGGTTAAATTTTATTAAAATTTTTTTTTTTAAATTACTCAGAATAAGTATTTGAATTGGGATTTTTACGGTATTCACCAGATACAGGTTGAGAATTATGTATTGTTTATAAAAAAAAGTAAATTAAAATCGCGTTTATGAAAATTGAAAATATTTATTGTTGAAAATTACATTCCGCATAAATTAAATGAAGATTATATCTCAAATATTCGAAATTATTATTGAGAATTGAACCAGGGCTTATTTTAACGGGTAGTAGAACCTGAATTGGTAGTTGAAAACATAATTTGGGTAGTTGAAAATTCAAAATTGGGTAGTAGATTTTTTCACCTGTAGGAAACTAGGAAAATTCTAATAATAAAATATTGAAGCCATAAATTTATATAAATAAAAATTGAAAATTATCAAATTAAAAACGTTTTTTAACTTAAAAGTTTAGCACATATTTTAATTTTTAACAAATCGTAATGTATTTTTATTATATATTAGAAAAAAGACTGGCAACGGTATGATCGCATTGCGAACGTATAAGTTTTCTATAGACCTATACGTCGTAAGACGACTTCGTGTGCCCGATGCGCATTGTGGCATTGTGTAGTAGTCGATATAGTATAGTAATGTACGATATCGGTAATGTCGGCGTGCCGTCGTTAAAACCCATTTAAAAATAAATAAAACGCACAGTATCGCAAGACACGGTTGTATTGAAACCAAACACTAATTTTATCTGTTTATTTTATCTAATTCGTTATCGACCTTTCTTTATATTGTAGTTTAAGTAATACTGCACTATAGAATGCGCATGTTGACTACTGCGTGATTTTGCTTAGGACATATAGGTCTATGGGCTAGTACTACAGTAAATAAATTTACGTGAATTACTGTATTATATACTTATTTTAATAAAAAGTGAAAAATAATACAAGAAAAGACAGTACTTATCTTATAGTGAAAAGTGAAAAAGTGTAAAAATGAAACGGGCATATCTCTTCAAAAATATGTAAAAAAAGTCCTANTGAAACGGGCTTTATCTCTTCAAAAATATGTAAAAAAATCTTGCAAAACAACTTCTTTGTATAGTTGGCTGAATCTAAATAAAGCAAGTTGTTCGACCCAGTTAAATTTAGCCACACAAAACTCAGCATCTCCTGAGGAATCTCAATTATCGGAACCAGTTAAAGAAAAAGAAATAATCGAGAAAATTTCAGAAAATGAAAACCCAAGTGTTCTCTTATTTAAAATATCTTGTATAATCATAATATGTGACATACATGAACAAATGATAACATCTTATTATATATTAATATTATATGTAATAATATAATATTACANTCGATGGCGTTCTCTATTGCACCAAGTATTCCCTCAGCACCTTGACAAGATGGTTCACTTAACCCAAGGAAATATTGAACTGATTCACCAGATTTTTTTATGACTTTTGCAAAAACATATATCTTGTCTATTTGCATACGGTCCACACTGCCATCACATCACAAAGAAAGCGATAAAATGTTAGAGCTCAGTATATCTTGCACACTATGATCACTTTTAATAATACACTGAATAAATTCTTTATGTGCGGTTGGGGTCAAATATTGAATTTTTTTTTTGTAATTTTTTTTGCGTCAGCATATGTATGTATCATTAATCCACCAATTTTATTTGCTAGGTCCTCGTTCATTTGTGGGAGCATCTTATCCATAGTACATTCTTTTGCTTTTTCTGGTACTTTTAAAGTAGATAATCTAAAAGCTTTCACAGACTCCGAATGATATTTCTGAGAAATATGTTTTTCTATCGTATCGTTTCTAAATCTAGTACAATCTGTTATTATCGCAGGCAATCGAGTCATTGTTCCATGAAGATTATCCTCACAAAGAGGCAAGAGGATACAGACTTTTTTAATCAATTATAACAATCTACAAATCCTAGCATTTATTGCAGACGTATTGATGGTTTTCAGCAGATATCAGAAAAAACTGCAGTCTGATACAATTACAATTTTAGACATGGACAAAGAGACAGTAAACGTTATATCCAGGCTTAAAATATTAAAAACGGAAGTGTTACTTGGTGGATGGGTGACAACCTTAAAAGAACAGTTAGAAATTCATAGTGAAAATAAGGTTTTACTAAAAGGAGAAGTCTTAACAAGACATCGAAAACATCGTTTAAAGGAACATCACAAGTTTGTTTCTCAGAATCGAGATTACTCCGCAATCTGCAATGAAATTGTGGATTTTCTTGTAAATTTTTTGCAGGAAAGATTCGATATTGATGCGGATACTGTTAAAATTTTGAAACCATTCACTGAGCTAGAGCCATCCGTTGATATGAAAGCAGTTCATAAATTGATAGGAAACGACTTAGATCTTGCAGAACTTTCAATGGAATATTCGGAGCTTCTCACTCATAAAAATATTGAGCAGTTAAAAAAAATCAGCTTAAAAGAAACTCTTCAGGCTTTAGTGATGACAAATTTTTTTCCCAATGTTTCTGTTATAATGGCCAGAATTGTTGCAACAAAACCTCATTCCGCTGATGTTGAAAGAGTGATTAGTGTGAACAATTTGTTGAAAACAAGCAATAGAAGCAGTCTAAGTATTAAAAGCGAGAATGAATATATATATATTTATTTTAATCTTCCTCCATTAGCCGAATGGAATCCTCGTCCAGCAATTAATGATTGGTTTAAGAAAAAAAGGAGAGTTAGAGAAACTGTTACGGCGAAAGAACAAGAGTGGTATAAGGGAATATTTATAAGTGCAAATGATAACCAAAAAGATTCGCAAACCGAAAAAAAAGTTCCTACGATAATGTTTTAAGTTTTGTTTGTACTGATTTCAATTTTGAGATAACTTATTTTTTTATTATATATTTTTCTGTTTCCTTTTTTTAAAGTTTTAGGATTTATTGTAATAATAAAACACTAGTCATCATCAAATGTAGCACTTTTTTTTACCCCCACTAACCTACTAAAGTCTTTATGAAATTTTATGCTTTAAAAAACGTTTTTACTAACATAAAAAACAAAAAAAAATGTTGCCTGTGTCCCCACCGAACCCCCACATAACTCTGTTATCCGAAAAGTACTTCGTTATGTTTGATGTTTATGTTTATGTTGATGCACAACATAAAAAAAGGACAGTGGGTAGTAGAAAAAAAACATTACAATAAGGCCTGAATTGAACTGTTTTACATAAAAATTATATTTGAAATAAAAAATTGAATATTCACATTTAATATTAATATAATTCATATTAATTAAATGAAAACAATTATTTTAAATATTAACGAAACAGGATAGAAATTTATCACACAAAAATTAACTTAAATAAATTTATAAAATGGTCTATTATCATCAGTATATTCAATTTGTAAGTTTGAATCATTTTTTTCTTCACACAAAACATCTAATTTTAAACAAAAATTAATTATTACAAAATATTCATAAAATGATGTTTCAAATTGATTAAATGAAATAATAGATATAAATAATTAATAATAATGTTATAATATTGTTACGTACTAAGTAGGGATATTATTATTGTAAATATAGATAACGTTCAGTTCCGTTCGAACCGACGAGTGCGCGACCGACTTCCTGTTTAATAAAGTAAATTTTTCAAATTAATTAGAGTGTTCGTGTTTTAAATTTTTAGTTTAGACACCCGCTCTAAAATCAACATGGTCCTTCGAAACTGGATTTAATTAAAAAATTAATTAATTAATAATTATAAATAATAAATAAATTAAGTCCGTTAGTCGTGTGGTTCGTAAAATTATTAAATTANTTAATTAAAAAATTAATTAATTAATAATTATAAATAATAAATAAATTAAGTCCGTTAGTCGTGTGGTTCGTAAAATTATTAGATATTAGTTGTGACCAAAAGTGTGTTAAGTGTTAAGTGCAAAAAAGTATGTAAAATAAATCGTAGGGTTACGATAATTTACCCGTTATAATTTGCTAAATTTTAAAGTTAATTGTATAAAATTATACAACGCCTGTTATATTGGTTACGGGAAATTTCGGCCCGTAGTAAAATAACAACAAACTACGGTACAACAATAAGTTTAGTTATCGGAACTCGTTCAGTGAAAAAAAAAAAGTCGATTAGGTAATAATGAGCATAGCATCAAAGATAGCATCGCTCGTTATACATAGGGGAGTGGAAAAAACGCGGCTCACAAAATTTGTAAACAAAATAAAAGAATGTCAAAGCGATGGAGACATTTTACAGCTCGAACAACGAAAAGAAAAAATGGAAGAAAGTTGGCAAAACTTCCAGAAAATTCAGTCAGCGATCGAAGTGTCAGTAGACAACATCGAACCAGAATTCACGTATAGATGTGAGTTTGAAGATACTTATTTTCAAGCAATGGCCGATTGTGCCAGAATAATAGATAAGCACGTAAAGGAAAATAATATTTAAAAACAAAGTCTGCAAAATATGGGACCACCCCTATTAATATCTGACTTAAGTGGAGAGGATTCAAATTTGAGAGTTAATGCAGCGCCCTTTAAAAAGTTACCACCGTTAGAGATCCCGGAGTTTAACGGAGAATATAAAAATTGGTCGACTTTTAAGGATCTTTTTGAAACTTTAATAAATTCGGATGAACAAATGCCGGATGTGCATAAATTCTTTTATTTAAAAAAAGATTTAAAGTCAGGTGCTGCTAGAGCCATTCAATCTTACGATATGACAGCAAAAAATTACCATTTAGCATGGAAGTATTTAAATGATCGGTACAATAGTACGAAAATTATTGTACAAACTCATACCAAAGCAATCTATGACCTTGATTCTCTTACAAAAGAATCAGCTTCGCAACTACGTCGCTTTTTGGATTCATTAACAGGGAACATGAAAACTTTAGAGCAATTAGGATATGATCCCTTGAATTGGGGACCAATGTTATTGCATATTATTACAACGAAATTAGATGTAAAAACGTTGGAAGCCTGGGAAACGGAAGCACCAAAAACTCAAGTAGCTGAAGTTGAGAAATTAATTGAATTTTTAGAAAAAAAAGTCCTCGAAGCTATTGAAAGTTCTAAAAAACAACTTGAACCAGGATTTAAAAAATACAATGGAAAAGGACGTGAACAAGAGATATTGTCACGTAAGGCAGTTATGCACGCTGCAACAATAAATTTATCTTGTTATATGTGTTCAGAAAAGCACCCAATTTATAAGTGTGCAAAATTTTTAGCGTTGTCGATACCGGAAAGATACCAGCAGGCTGCCAGGAGTGGTGTTTGCGAGAACTGTCTTTCCCGACAAGCTGAAAATAAATGCAAATTTAAAGGGTGTAAGAAATGTGGTAAATTTCATAATAATTTACTTCATATTGATAGTAAAAATGATGTTGATGATACGCTTAATGTTGTGTCAACACACGCCGCGCAGAGAGCTGGAAAAAATGTGTTGTTGTCTACAGCTGTAATAAAAATATTTGGAAAGACGGAGGAACCGGTTTACGCTCGTGCGTTATTGGACTCAGGTTCAATGTGTAATTTTATCAGCAACGATTTATCAAATAAATTAGGCCTGATACGCAAGCGAGTCAATTATTCCATAGAATGTGTTAATGCGGTCTCGAGTCAAGCGTCTTATCTAGTAAAAACAATAATACAAACAACAAAAGGTTCATCTCAGTATCCGCTAGAATTCTTAACTTTACCGAAAATTACAAATAAATAGCCCCTGGCACCGGACGATATGACCGCCTGGAAAGTTCCAGAGGGTATAGATTTAGCCGACCCATCGTTTGCCGTACCAAGTAAGATCGATATTTTGCTTGGTGCTGAAGTATTTTTCGAAGCTCTAAAAACTGGTCAAATTAAACTGTTAGAGAATGGTCCATTATTTAAAGAAACCGTGTTCGGGTGGATTGTCGCGGGTTCAGTTCCCGTGAGGAACTTAACACTATTGCACTCTTTTCATGCTCGAGTTCGATCAGAAGAAGAGAGTTTAAAATTACAAATTGAAAAATTTTGGAGCTTAGAAGAGATAATAAGTTTCCCAATCACCCCCGAAGAAAATGAGTGCGTCAAGCATTTTAATAAAACGGTAATTAGAGATGAGGAAGGTCGATTTTTGGTATGTTTACCTTTGCGAAAAAATTACAAGCAATTGGGAGACTCCCAAGCAACAGCGCTCAAACAATTTTTATCATCTGAAAATAAATTGCTTAAAAATAAAAAGTTGAAATCAGATTACTCAAATTTTATGGATGAATATTTGCGACTGGGTCATATGGAAAGAGTAACAAATAATGTAAGTCCAAATATAAAATCATAGTATATACCCCACCATGCGGTGTTACGTGACTGCAGTGCGACTACAAAGTTACGCGTAGTTTTTAATGCGAGTTGTGCTACTACTACGGGCTTAAGTTTGAACGATGTACTGTTCAAAGGCCCAGTAATACAAGATGATTTGTTTTCTATTCTTACACGTTTTCGAATTCATCAGTATGTACTGTCGGCAGACTGCGAAAAGATGTACCGCCAAATTTGGGTTAGCAAGGGTCACCAAGATTTACAACGGATTTTGTGGAGATCACAACCAGATCAGCCAATTGAAGAATTTCGTCTAAAAACTGTTACCTATGGCACATCACCAGCAAGCTACTTAGCTACTGGTTGTTTACAAAAATTAGCTTATGAATATCGTCAAAAATATCCGGACGCACATAAAGTGATATAGAATGATATGTATATGGACGACTACCTGGGAGGTGCCGAATCAATACAAGCGGCTATTAAATTACGTGATAACGTTACGAGATAATGAAGTCAGCCGGTTTCAAACTACGTCAGTGGGCATCAAATTGTCCACAATTGTTAACTGGTATACAAAATGATGACGATGACCCACTAATCGTTTTAAATTTAGACGACAACAAAATAAAAACATTAGGATTGTGTTGGAATACTGACAATGACAGCTATTAGTTTAAATTTAATGCGGCCGNTAAATTTAGACGACAACAAAATAAAAACATTAGGATTGTGTTGGAATACTGACAATGACAGCTATCAGTTTAAATTTAATGCGGCCGAGAAAACAAACATCAACAATACAACCAAAAGAGCGATATTGTCGTCGATCGCTTCCATTTTCGATCCGTTCGGTCTTATTGGTCTAATAATTATTAAAGCAAAATTAATTATGCAAAGGTTGTGGCAATTGAAATGTTGTTGGGATGACTTATTGCCAAATGAATTACAGCAGGAATGGCTAAATTATAAGAACTCGTTGATACAAATCGAAAAAATTGAAATACCACGGTGTATACTTGGACGTAATCATGTGCAGTCAGTTCAAATTCATGGATTTACAGACGCGTCTGTTCACGCATATGGATGCTGTGTGTACTTAAGGGCAACTGACAACAATGATGTTTCATGTATTCGGCTAATCGCAGCGAAGTCAAGAGTAGCTCCTTTGAAAGTAATCTCTTTGGCTCGATTAGAACTATGTGCGGCCGTTTTACCTTGCCAGTTAGTAGAAAAAATCGTGAACAAATTAAATTTAAATGTAAGTAAACGTTATTTTTGGTCCGACTCAACTATAACATTAGCTTGGATAAAATCGTCGTCCAACAGTTGGAAAACATTTGTTGCATACCGTGTTGGAGAAATACAGTCATCAACGGCGATAGATGAATGGAATCATGTTAGGTCTGCTGATAACCCAGCTGACATAATATCAAGAGGCTGTACACCTGATTAACTTTGTTATTCAAAACTTTGGTGGGAAGGCCCTGATTGGTTATGTTATGATGAGAAAAATTGGCCTTTGAGTACGACAGAAGCGCCGCCTCTACCTAAGGAAGGACCTGAACAAAGAAATTCGGTGATGATAACCGTTACTACAACAGGTATGGAAAATTTTAATTTAATACATCGTTATTCGTCATAGATGAAATTATGACGAAATTAGATGTCGTGTGACATGCTATTGTTTGCGGTGGTTTAATAAGAAAATTCGCAAAAAACATTTTCCTTCAACCTCAATTGATGTATGGGAAATTCAAGAGGCTCAAATTGTTTTAATTGAATTGGAACAGAAAAATTATTTTTCAGAGGAAATTAAAATATTACAAAGTAAAAAACTTTTGCAGCACGGCAAATTAGTTCGACTGCTTCCATTTCTAGATGAAAATAATGTGTTAAGAGTAGGCGGTCGGTTAAATAAGTCAACTCATATCAGTGATGAACAAAGAAATCCAATCGTACTACATCCTAAGTCATTTATTACTAATTTAATACTTCGGTACGAACATCAGCGTTTGCTTCACGCCGGTCCGCAAGCACTATTAGCTGCTGTGAGAGAAAAATTTTGGCCGTTAAATGGACGAAATCTAGCCAGAAAAATTGTACATGAATGTGTGGTTTGTTTTCGTTCTAAGCCGACTGTATTTACACCAATTATGTCCGATCTACCAAAATCACGCGTAGAACCAACTAGAGCTTTTCAAGTGAGTGGTTTAGATTATTGTTGTCCTGTTTTAATAAACTCAAGTTTAAATCGAAAAGCACCGAAATTAAAAGCTTATATTTGTGTTTTTGTTTGTTTTTCGACAAAAGCAGTACACGTCGAGTTAGTTAGCGATTTGACGTCTGAGAATTTTTTAGCCGCTCTGCGTCGATTTACTGGTAGACGGGGATTATGTACAGCACTTTATTCAGACAACTCCACTACTTTTACTGGTCCAAATCGACAATTAATTGAATTGAGCAAATTTTTAACTTCTCCGGAGAACATCAAAAAAATAAGAAAATTTACAGCGGAGCTTGGCATTCAATGGCATTTTATTCCGCCGAGAGCACCTCATTTCGGGGGCTTATGGGAAGCTGCCGTAAAATCTGTTATACATCATCTTGTCCGATTACTTGGATATGTTTGTCTGACGTACGAAGAAATGGACACTGTTCTTGTTCGTATAGAAGCGTGCTTAAATTATCGTCCTCTTACACCTTTATCGTCGGATCCAACGGATTTAAGGGCTCTCACTCCCGGTCATTTTTTGGTGGGTGGACCGTTAACCAGTTTGCCTGAAAAGGATTTATCGATGGTCCCATCCAATCGACTCAAAAGATGGCAATTAACAATTCAATTAACTCAACGCATTTGGTCGAGATGGAGTACAGAATATTTGAGTCAACTTCAAGGACGCACAAAATGGCAGTCCCCTCAAGGTGTTTTCATAAAAAAGGACATGCTAGTTCTAATTAAAGAAGATAATGTACCACCAATGAAATGGCATATGGGACGTTTTAAAGAACTTTTCACTGGAACGGATGGTGTGATTCGAGTGGTAGAATTGTATACGGAAACTGGTTTGCTTAAAAGGGCCGTTAGATATGTATGTCCTTTGCCCATAGAAGATGAGTAATTTTTTTTTTATAAAAATAATTTTTGATAAATTTTGATATGCCAATGTTAACTTATATATTGTTGAGTATTTAATTTATCAATGAATTAAATTTTGATTTGCTAAAGTCATTTTATATCTTATTGTTTAAGTAATTAATTAATCTATGAAGCCATGTAAAAAAAAAATTTTTTTTTGTTTTGCTTGTCATGTTTATTTAGTTATAAGAAATTGAGCGTTGATTTTATGTAAATTTATTAAGGTCCTGTTTCTTATTGATTTATTAATTTTTTTTTTTTTGGACAATAAGTCCTAAATATTTTTTTTTGTAAAATATTGTTGTTAAACTGATTTAAAATTTTTTTTAAATGTATTTTTTGTATTATTTTACGGCAATCGTAAAATGATGGGCGATATGTTACGTACTAAGTAGGGATATTATTATTGTAAATAGAGATAACATTCAGTTCCGTTCGAACCGACGAGCGCGCGACCGACTTCCTGTTTAATAAAGTAAATTTTTCAAATTAATTAGAGTTTTCGTGTTTTAAATTTTTAGTTTAGACACCCGCTCTAAAATCAACAAATATTTTATAACTATGGTGACACACAAAAACAATGATTTTGTATGGCAAAAGAATATGTAATATATTATGTATTATATAAGTAAGATTTAAATGTAAGAAAAATTGTACTCCGGTATATTTTAAAGTAATTAACTTCTTTTTTAACTCCATCCTGTTTATCAAATTCATTGGTAGGTTGCATCATGATAATAAAAAGATATCTAAAAATATTACAAGGTTTTTTAAGGTCAATTGCAAAATTAAATTCAAAACCAGGTGCACAGTAGTGTAACATGAAAATTTCCAATGTTGTTGAATCTCTTCTAGCAAATCTACTTAATTAGTATGTTTATATATATAATTATAGAATGATTGTGTGTATATTGCTCTCTAATCGTAATAGCATTTCAAAAAGTACTCTAGTATATTATAGAATAATTATCTCCTTTTTTAATTCCATCCTGTTTATCTAATTCATTGGTAGGCTTAATCAAATTAATAGAGGGATATTGTGCAATATCTAAAAATATTATAATGCTTTTTAGCTCAATTAAAAATGTGTTTTTATTAAAAAACAGATATACAATAGTGTATTAGGAATACATTACGATGTTGATAATTCACTTCTAGCACATCTACCTCATTAGTATGTTGTGTCACATTTATTGGATTTTGTGTGATATCCAAATATAAATAATAGTTAACTTAATTTAAAATTATTTATATTAAAAACTAGATATACAGTAATATATTAAGAAAACTTTACCATGTTGTTGATTCTTTTCTAGTATATCTACCTCATTGGTATGATCATGATTTTGAATGGAATCTAAATATGTTAATAAAAAAAATGTAATTCAGTTTTATATTGTTTCAATAATTATACCTTGATTGTCATTGGTAGGTGGAGTAGGTAAAAATGTCTGACTTGTATTCAAATCAAATTTAAATCCAAGTTCAATGTACTTTTTCCAGATTGTCGTTAAAATTAAATCTTTGATTTTATCATTAAGAAATATGTATAATTCTTGATATATTCCTTGAGATTTTAATGTGTCAAATTCCATATTCCATAAATTCCACAATAATTCCAAATCAAAAGGTTTTAGTTCACAAAACGATAAATCTTCTTCAAGTTCACATTTCCTATTGCTTAGAATTTCCTCAATACTCAATAATGTATTTTTGATGGAATCCATATTGATACTGAAAGAAACCAATTTGTTTAAATCTTCATTTTCCTGAAGATTTGTTAGAACTTTTCTCAAAATAAAACGGTTTTTTATTTTGTTGATCATAGGAATATTATGATAACTATCTATAGCATGTAGAGCTCCTTTCATTAATTTTGCTACTGGAATAATTTCAATCAATTTGTTAATAGTGTGACCGCACAATCGTACATCTTATACCAGTTTCCAGTAACTAATAGCTGACAACAATGTTTATGAAAATTTAATAATACAAAGAATATTATATTTAAATCATGAGCATAAGAACATCCAAGGAATATCGTTGATTGACGTATGAAATTATTACATTCGTATACTGTTACAGTTTGATTAATCACCTCGTTTAGTTTATGCCGTTTGCATCGATATTGAATACTTTCGACATCATTTATATTTTTCCAACCGGGTAAATGGAGAAAATTATTTATTATATCAGCGTTTTTTTTTTTATTGTGAGTTCCTTCAGTATGCAAAAAAGCGAAAAATATACAAAAGTATACTTGAATATTTAGTACTATTGCTATTTTCATTTTCTAAAATGTTCTTATACTAAGAAATAAAAGTCTAACATAATTTGTTTCAATGTTATAGTTATATTAATATTTATTTCATTTCCATATAAATATAAACTGGCATATAATGGAAAATGTTTAAACACAGGTGTCCATAGATACACAATATTTAATCATTTATATATGAACGGGACGAGGCACAGTTATTAGTACGTTTTAAACACAGTGTGTAATATTTTTTTTATATATATCCATTAAACATAAAGATGAACAAATTTCATATAAATAAATTATAGCAATAATTGATAAGAATTTTTAATACTACTTAAGGAAAAACAGTTGACATCTGTTTATTAAATTTTTCTATGAAACTGAAATAAAATATTTTGTACGCACCTAAATTCAAAAGGTTTTAAAATCCAAACACTCACTGTTTTCAATACAGGAGTCACTCATTTTCTATGGTGTAACGTAAACTAATTTAACTTAATTCAGTTTAAGAGGTTACGTTACAATTTTTAATACATCTCCGTCAACAAAAATAAAGATTACTTTGTATAGGCAATGACTACGATAATATTATCGTAGTATTCGATTATTTTAAGAGTGACTATACTACGCATACAGATGTGTATTTCAAAGAAATTGATTCTTAAGTATTTAAGAAAATTCAAGTTAATGTTTTTTAAGCTTAAAAGAATGATAAAAATATATTTTTACTACATATTATTGTAGAGTTTTTTTAATTAAACAATATTTTCCTTACCAAAAATTAAAAATCTTCAATAGTTACCAAGAAAATAAGTGTGTTATTTTTAATGAATCACTCTGTATAATACAATTAAAATATATTAAGTACAATAATATTATTTAAATTTAGATAAAGCTAATATATCCAAATTTTTATTCTTCTAGAAAACTTTTTGGTGGATCGTATATATTCCGGGGGGAGTATATCACTTTTTCTCCATATTTGATGATTCCTTAAATTTTATTCTATATTATGTGATATTAGGGAGGTCCTTAGTTATAGAAGAAAATTTTTTTTTTATGAAATTCAGAGTCATGGGCTCAAAATTTCGTTAGGTTCACTGAAAAAATGAAACTGGTAAAATTTGAGTACAATAAGTCAACCCCTTCACGTGCCTCAAAGGGGTTGAAATTCTTCAAAAATGGGGTGGATTTTCTTTTTTAGAGTGTACGCTCTTTATTTTTGAAGTTTCGCCAAAAACACAGAGAACAATTTTTATAGAACTCAATGTGAACAAAAAATAAGGTAATCAATTATTTTTTTGTAAAATTAATATTTTTTCGTAAAAATAAGAAAAATCAGTTTCACTTAATTTTTAAAAAAAATGGCATAGTTTTCAGTTATACTTTTTCAGTGTCTTAAATTTTAACTATGCGCAGAAATTGTACAGAAGTAATATTAATCACCGTGATATTTTCTATAAAAAAGTTAGTTTGAGTTTTTTTCGAATTATGAATCCTTTCTAAATAAAAATTTAAAACAACTACGAAAACATGTTTTTTTTTTTTTAATTTTTGTTGTATGAATGTTTTTTTGTTCAGAAATTAACTAATTTTCTTAGTTATATTAAATAAAAAAAAAACAAGAAACACAATAAAATAATAATTGTAATAGATGAGTGTTTAATATTTTGGAGAAAAGCGCGTATTCCTACACAGTATTCTTCACACTATGTTATTAAATTAAAAAAATTGTATGAGAAATGGAGAAAGTTGGACAATAATAAATCTAGAAAAACAGAAACAAAAGAACTACATTATAATATTTTTTCTGAAGAATTAGATAACCTCTTTGACATTTCTCTTATCGAAGCTCTGAATATGATAAGTATTGAAGAAGACAAACAGTTTTTATTGTCACAACTTAAAAAAGGCCGCTCAGGGTGCATGCTTGGTATTGATATGAAGTTAACAGGTACACAATAATTTCAGTACATTATAAGTAAGCAGTTTTTATATACCGAAGTATTTTATTATTTAGCCGAAGCTCAATATTATAGCAGCTCTAGATCGGAGGACGAAGATATTGATATGGAGGAAAACGTTGAAGAAATGAGTCAATTACCTGGGCCTTCAAAAGAAGTAAAAGCACTAGAAGATATATGTTGTTTTGTAGTTGAATGTTATATTAAAATGTGGTTTTCAGCTGCGAATATTATAACAGCTCCTATAAATGATTTAATATTATTAAAAAAGTTATTAAATTACAGTAATAATAAACTAGGAGAAGTAGCTATAAAAATATTTATAAACCATTTATGGTATTTAAATGATGAGTCTGCTGTGTTTTCTATATTTGACGATCGACTTGACATTAATACTAAACAGCGAATGGCAAAAAAATATTAAAAGGTTATGAACAGAGCACGAATGATGAGCCACAACAAAATGAAGATTCAAATAAAAAATTAATTTTAAAATATGAAGATTTATCAGATTTTCTAGAAAAAGATCTTCCTTTTTCGTTGCTCAGCAACAATTCATGGAAATTATTCGAGAAATATAAATTAAAATTCAAGTATTTATATGAATCTCCTACCACATGGGAAATAAATAATGAACGCCAATAATAACGCCAAAGAAATATTATCCTCGATAAAAATAGTAAACGACAGAATTCAACGACAAATTTACAAGGGATGAAAATCAAAAGCAATTTATATTACAATTATGAAATTATATAATAATACTGCAAAATTTTAAATTTCAAATTACTATATTTGTATTATAACCTTTACTTTGGACTATTTTAGGTGGTTCAACAATATCGCCAGCTGTATCCCAGTTGTAGCCAAGAAATTTTGAATAAAAAATATTCAAATTAAAAAAACTATTATTGTGATAAAAAATTATTATTTTATCACCCAGTGACGTCATCACTAAGTAATATTATCACATTTTGCCAGTTTACAAAAGTTTAATAATACNCTAAGTAATATTATCACATTTTGCCAGTTTACACAAGTTTAATAATGAATTTTTCAGTGGGCCAAGATCCCAATTAATTAAATTGTTTTTATTTTTAAACATTTCTATTGCTTCTCTGATATTAAGTTCTTTGTAATTATTTACGTTTTTAATTAGTTTTATGGTTTTAATGGAGTGATTATGTGTCAATAAATGTTCAGCCACTGGAGATTTCTCAACTTCTTGATTTTTAATATTTCTTAAGTGCTCTTTAAACCTGACCCCTATATTTCTTTTTGTTTGTTCTACGTAACATTTATTACAACTTTCATATTGTATTTTATAAATTCCTGATTTCCCCCCTTCATCTACCTTATATTTAGGGTTACCTAATAAATCTCGATTAAATTGACATTTGAACAAGAAGTAGAGGGAAAATTGCCTTTTTTGGATTTATTAGTTAAAAGAATAGAGAGGGAACTAAATTTTGAAATTTATCGGAAAAACACACACACGTTCAGATACATTCCGAACACATCGAACCACACGTGGCAACACAAATTGTCAGCTTTTAATAGTATGGTTTACAGATTAATTAATATTCCGATGAATAAAATAGATTAAAATAATTTGAAATGATTTACATAATGTAAAAATATTAAAGCAAATATTAAATATTTTTCAACCATATTTACATTATTTTTCCAAAATTAAGATACATACATACATAATGTGGTGACTTTAAAAATAATGAAATCGCGTCTAACAAGGTGTACAATTCTTTTATTAAACTTTAAAGTTATATATTTTCAAAACAAATGTTTGGTAATAAATTTTGGTGTATACCTAAAATGTTAATTGAGTTTCATAAAAAGATGTAGCTATTGCTAAATTTTTATTTCAAAAGTAGAATTCGAATTTCTTATCTAATATTACTATAGTTTATTTTTATAAAATTTGTTCTTAATTATATTTTAGGGATATAAATAAAATTGTACACATAGTGTTTAAAACGTCATAATCCTGCTACCTTCTCTCAATAAAGCGAAAATCAACTTTGATTACCTATAAACACCTATGTACATAATTAATATTTTTTGTTAGATCTTTTGTTTTGTTATAGCAATAAAATAAATTATTAATATCACTATAACATTGAAACAAGTTTTGTNTTTTGTTTTGTTATAGCAATAAAATAAATTATTAATATCACTATAACATTGAAACAAGTTTTGTAAGATCATTTTTTTTTTGTGATACAAGAAAATAATTTTATAACTTATCGAAAATGAAAATAGCAATAGTATTAAATATTCAAGTACACTTTTGTATATTTTTCCCTTTTTTGCATACTGAAGGAACATATAATACAAAAAAAAACACTGATATAATAAATAATTTTCTCAATTTACCCGGATGGAAAAATATAAATGATGTCGAAAGTATTCAATATCGGTGCAAACAGCGTAAACTGAACGAAGTAATTAATCAAACTGTAACAATACCCGACTGCGATAATTTCATACGTCTATCAATGATATTCCTTGGATGTTCTTATGCTCATGATTTAAATATAATATTCTTTGTATTATTAAATTTTCAAAAACAATGTTGTCAGTTATTCTATACTGGTAAGTGGTATAAGGCGAACAATTGTACTGTCACACTATTAACAAAAATAAATGAAATTGTTCCAATGGCAAAATTTATGAAAGGAGCTCTACATGCTATAGATAATTGTCATACTATTCCTATGAACAATAAAAAAAAAGGGCGATTTATTTTAAGAAAAGTTCTAACAAATCTTCAGAAAAATGAAAATTTAAACAGATTTCTTTCTTTTGGTATTAGTTTAGATTCCATCGAAAATACATTATTGAGAATCGAGGAATTTCTACGCAAAAGGAAATGTGAACTTGAAGAAGATTTATCGTTTTGCGAACTAAAACCTTTTGATTTGGAATTATTGTGGAATTTATGGAATATGGAATTTGACACATTAAAATCTCAAGGAATATATCAAGAATTATACATATTTCTTAGTGATAAAATCATAAATTTAATCCAAACAACAATTTGGAAAAAGTACATTGAACTTGGATTTAAATTTGATTTGAATACAAGCCAGACATTTTTAACTACTCCACCTACCAATGACAATCAAGGTATAGTTATTGAAACAATATAAAACTGAATTACATTTTTTTTATTAACATATTTAGATATCACACAAAATCCAATAAATGTGACACAACATACTAATGAGGTAGATGTGCTAGAAGTGAATCATCAACATGGTAAAGTATTCCTAATACACTATTGTATATCTATTTTTTAATATAATTACATTTTTAATTGAGCTAAAAAGCATTATAATATTTTTAGATATTGCACAACTACCCTCTATTAATTTGATTAAGCCTACCAATGAATTAGATAAACAGGATGGAATTAAAAAAGGAGGTAATTATTCTATAATATAATAGAGTATAATTTTTCCTACTTTTAAATTTTACTTATATAATACATTATATTTTAAATATTCTTTTACTGTACAAAATCATTTATTTTGTAATCATCAAAGTCTAATAAAATCAAGGTATAGTTATTGAAACAATATAAAACTGAATTAAATTGTTTTTTATTAACTTTTTAGATATCACACAAAATCCAATAAATATGACTCAACATATTAACGAGGTAGATTTGCTAGAAGAGTATCATCAACATGGTAAGTTTTCCTAATACACCACTATATATCTATTTTAGCTTCGATGTGAACCTGAGAAGGTATTTATTTTACCATGATGTGTTTTTTTTTTTATGTTTATTACTACATTTTTCAGCTCTTACCGAACCGATTTTTTTATTATTTCATTCTTATGATATTTCATTTTTTTTTTTATTATAAACTTTCACAAAAAAACGTAGGTTAAAAATAATTACTTTTAACATATTAAAAATCAAAATCAATAATAATTTAAAAACAATTAATTATTATAATTATTTAATATATAATTAAAAAAATATAAATAATTTATTTTTGAATCTAAGAATTACTAATCTTGATATCATTAAGGAATTAGAAGTTGATGTTGCTTTTGTAATCAATATACACGATTTAGATTTGCATCGAAGCGTTTCTTATGGTAGTGATTTTAATCACTGTCAGATTAAATCTATACTGAACCCTACTATGCCACGTCTCCACTGTGCCACGACCTCACTGTGCTGGGTTTTTTAATATTAATAATAATAAATACATTTTTTTTATTAACATATTTAGATATCACACAAAATCCAATAAATGTGACACAACATACTAATGAGGTAGATGAGCTAGTAGTGAATCATCAACATGGTAAAGTATTCCTAATACACTATTGTATATCTATTTTTTAATAAAAACACATTTTTAATTGAGCTAAAAAGCATTATAATATTTTTAGATATTGCACAATATCCCTCTATTAATTTGATTAAGCCTACCAATGAATTAGATAAACAGGATGGAATTAAAAAAGGAGATAATTATTCTATAATATACTAGAGTACTTTTTGAAATGCTATTACGATTAGAGAGCAATATACACACAATCATTCTATAATTATATATATAAACATACTAATTAAGTAGATTTGCTAGAAGAGATTCAACAACATTGGAAATTTTCATGTTACACTACTGTGCAACTGGTTTTGATTTTAATGTTGCAATTGACCTTAAAAAACCTTGTAATATTTTTAGATATCTTTTTATTATCATGATGCAACCTACCAATGAATTTGATAAACAGGATGGAGTTAAAAAAGAAGTTAATTACTTTAAAATATACCGGAGTAAAATTTTTCTTACATTTAAATCTTACTTATATAATACATAATATATTACATATTCTTTTGCCGTACAAAATCAATGTTTTTGTGTGTCACTATAGTTATAAAATATTATAACATTATTATTAATTATTTATATCTATTATTTCATTTAATCAATTTGAAACATCATTTTATGAATATTTTGTAATAATTAATTTTTGTTTAAAATTAGATGTTTTGTGTGAAGAAAAAAACGATTCAAACTTACAAATTGAATATACTGATGATATGATACCAATGTATAAGTTCATTTAAGTTAATTTTTGTGTGATAAATTTCTATCCTGTTCCGTTAATATTTAAAATAATTGTTTGCATTATATAATATGAATTATATTAATATTAAATGTGAATATTCAATTTTTTATTTCAATTCAAGCGCAATATAATTTTCATGTAAAACGGTTCAATTCTCAATAATAATTTCGAATATTTGAGATATAATCTTCATTTAATTTATGCGGAATGTAATTTTCAACAATAAATATTTTCAATTTTCATAAACGCGATTTTAATTTACTTTTTTTTATAAACAATACATAATTCTCAACCTGTATCTGGTGAATACCGTAAAAATCCCAATTCAAATACTTATTCTGAGTAATTTAAAAAAAAAAACCTTTAAAATAACAAAATATAATATGGTAATAATGGTTATATGAATGCATGGGTAATTTGACCAAGGTTGGATGTATGTAGATTTGGTCAAATTGCGAGCAACAAGTTTCTATCGGGGTTGTAGAGTCTTAGGGTTGAGAACAACGAAGACAAGTAGATATAAAAATAATAAACGCAATATTTCTTTGCTGAGGTGTAATAAAGTACAGTGTGGTTGGTATCTAATAATATGCACAAGGGCAACGGAACGGCAAGCCAGTTCATGAATACCTGTGGAAAATTTTATTTTATAAAATTTTGATTAAAGTAGGACAAATATTTAAAAAAAATCTAGAAGAATCCATCATAGTAAAATAGTACTTGTAGGAGTGGTTATTTCCCTTAATAATTGGCTTTGGATACACCTTTATTTCTTCATGCTAAAATTAGACATAACAAAAAAAAATTATTATAAAAATAGGATAAAAAAAACCCAGCACAGGGGGTTCGCGGCACAGTGATGCCATGGTATAGTTGGATCAAGTATAATGATATCTGACAGTGATTAAAGTCACTATCATAAGAAACGCTTCGATGCAAATCTTTAGATAGTGTTTAATTTTAAAAAATTGGTGTATTATTCCAAAAGCTACATGATCTGCTAGTTCCTTATTAATATCTTGATTAAGATAAGTATGTCGAATGAAAAAGAGATTATTAAAAAATATTATTTCTCATAAAAAAATTGTNGAATGAAAAAGGGATTATTAAAAAATATTATTTCTCATAAAAAAATTGTGTTGATCCATACACTTTTCAATAAGTTATAGCATTATAAAGTTAAATATAATATAAAAAATAAAATCGAGAATTTTTACACGAAAATAGCATTTGATAGCCATTTTCGCCGTGAAGACAAGTCCAGAGGTCAAATTTTTTTTTTTTTTAAATTAAAGTATATTACATTAGCTTTAATTTAAGATATATATAAAAGTGTCAGAACTTCCGGAACACTTTCAAAAATTATGTTGAAAAAGTTCTACTTTATATATGCATTTTTTATATTTTAAGCCCCCGCATATATAGGGAAATGGTCCGATTTAAAAAAAAAGTATGTCCAATGAAAGATGTATATAAATACTACTTCTCATGAAAAAATTGTATTGATCCATACATTTTACAAAAAGTTATAGCATAATAAAGATAAAAATGGAAAATACAAAATCAAATATTAATTCTCATCAAAAAATTGTGATCCATACATTTTTTAAAAAATTATAGCATTTTAAAGTTAAAAATGTAAAAAATAAAATCAAGAATTTTCACATGAAAATAGTATTGGGTAATCATTTTCACCACGAAGACAAATCCAGAGGTCAAATTTTATTTTTTTCATTATAAAGTGTATTACATTAGCTTTAATTTAAGATATATATAAAAGTGTCAAATCTTCCGAAACATTTTTAAAAGTTAAGTTGAAAAAGTTAATTTTTTGTGAAAAAGTTGTCATTTTAAATCCCCCCCTGTGGGCAGATAAAAGGTCAAATTTACAAAAAAATATACCAATTGATAAATAAAGGCATCAAGCATCTATGAAAATAAAAGTTTTATTGATATGTTTATTTTTGAAAAAGTTACGGCAGTTTTTAGTAAAAAAAATTTTTAAAATTTCAAAATTTGTAATTTTTTTTGAAGTTTCCCCCATTTACGGTAAAGAGGGAATTTTTTTCAATTTTTGAGGGTAAAGTCTTCGACTAGATACGATTTGTGATATTTTGACGTATCGTTGAATGAAATCCGTTCGGTGAGAGCTGAGAAAAAGTGATAACAGACACAAAAAAAAAACACATCATTATAAAACCAATACCTTCTCAGATTCGCATCGAAGCTATAATAAAACTCAAATCAATTTTTCATTGAATATAAAATATTTATTTTATTAATACCTCAATAAAGTTAAGTGTACAGAGTGATCTGATAACTATTTCCCACGTAATTTTTAAGTTTACCACATTAATTTATTTATTTTTCAACAAATAAGTGATGAATAACTTACTTTTAAGTATTTGCTAAACTTCTCAATAATTGTTCTAGCCCTCAAATATTATTTCAACCACCTCAATTCATGCTCTGTAATTCACGTATCGGCCGGAATACTTTTTACGATCAATTTTCCATATATCTTTTTGTTTTTTTTATTTTTACAATAAAAATGTAAACATAAAAATTTTTGTGTCAAATCTTTTTTTTAATAAATATGTGAAACAATTTGCAAACTTTTAATCCCAAGACTAAAATCCCATGTGCCGTCCATGTATAATGGTGGTAATAAGATGTCATGCGTTTAGATTACAGTCAAACAGCAGCGTCGTCAAACCATAACATGCGTCGGTTTTTTGGACATAACGGTCGATTAATAATCGTTTACGCAACGGAAAACCTAAATTTTCAAGTGTTGAACGGAGCTTTTTCTAAATGACATAACATTCTTTCTCATTTCGTCCACCACTGACTAAGTAATTCATATAAAAATCTTTATCTATTATCCATTGGGCTTTGTTATAATGTTGTTATTGTGCTATTTGAGTCTAGCAATGCGTAACTAAAAATGAGGCACCTTCGTACCATAGGTAATAGTTTGAAGTTCAAATTTACGTAATGGTATGCAAATGAAATTGTAATAATATATGAAAAAGGTCGGATTTGGCCCCTTTATTAATATAAAGTTTGCTCTGATGTAGTAGTAGCTGAACCATCATGGACTGCCCTGATTTTGATAAGCACAGGATTAAGCATTGTCATGTTTAAATATTGCATGATGGGGAGATAATACACTGGTTGATCATGAATAGGTCCAGCGGGTCTCATGTGTCCCATAGCCAAACTTGACGATTTTATGAAAAAGTAAATACTTTTTCATAAAACCGTCAAGTTGTTTAGCTATTAATTATATTTAATAAATCTGCGTTCTAAATTGAAAAATTTCCTATGTGGCATATTAAAAGAATCGCCCAAGAGTGATGGACTTTACATAAATGGGAGTTTTACCACAAAACGGCCATCAGCATTACAACTATGTGTTGCTTTGAAATGTTCCTCAGCCGAATTTTCTTCTTGGATGCACTGAGCGTATTTAATGGTTGAATATAAACAGATATGTTTATTGAGCATACATAAATTGAACTGTAATGATGTTATGACCATACAGAGCCATTTTCCTGCAACATACCAGACAAACTTAGTTTGATTTAGTATAGCACTGTCAGGAAGTGATATTTTTTTTACCAGCCCAGATGTCATAAAATACATTCGCACCAATTAGTATATCAATGGGCACTGACTTGTTACATTGTGGTTACGCCAAATCACATTTAATATGATCAGGTATAATCATAAAATTTCTATTAGCATAATGTGATAAAATTATATTAATCGTTAACAATACTCAAATTTTTTGTTTTTTTTTTTTTTTGTGTCTTTTACCTCTAATTCTCAGTTCTCACTGGACCAATTTCTTTCAATGATACCTAAAAGATCACAAATCGTATTTAGTCGAAGACATTACCCTCAAAAATTAAAAAAAAAATTCCCTCGATTTCCGTAAATGGGGGAAATCGCCAAAAAAATTTAAATTTTAAAGTCAGTAATTTTCGAAATTTTTTTTTTCTTAAGATTGTCAACTTTTTTAAAAATTAACAAATAAACATAATTTTTTTTTNTTCCGGAACATTTTCAAAAGTTAAGTTGAAAAAGTTAATTTTTTGTGAAAAAGTTGTCATTTTAAATCCCCCCCTGTGGGCAGATAAAAGGTCAAATTTACAAAAAAATATACCAATTGATAAATAAAGGCATCAAGCATCTATGAAAATAAAAGTTTTATTGATATGTTTATTTTTGAAAAAGTTACGGCAGTTTTTAGTAAAAAAAATTTTTAAAATTTCAAAATTTGTAATTTTTTTTGAAGTTTCCCCCATTTACGGTAAAGAGGGAATTTTTTTCAATTTTTGAGGGTAAAGTCTTCGACTAGATACGATTTGTGATATTTTGATGTATCGTTGAATGAAATCCGTTCGGTGAGAGCTGAGAAAAAGTGATAACAGACACAAAAAAAAAACACATCATTATAAAACCAATACCTTCTCAGATTCGCATCGAAGCTATAATAAAACTCAAATCAATTTTTCATTGAATATAAAATATTTATTTTATTAATACCTCAATAAAGTTAAGTGTACAGAGTGATCTGATAACTATTTCCCACGTAATTTTTAAGTTTACCACATTAATATATTTATTTTTCAACAAATAAGTGATGAATAACTTACTTTTAAGTATTTGCT